TGCTGGTGCTGGTGGTTTCCTGATCAATTTAATGATTCTTTTCTTTTAGTGGTATGTGACTGGTACATCAGGCTGCCCTTTTGTCGCACCTTCCCCTGCCAGTTGATCAGCTTTCTCATTTCCAGGCACTCCACAATGAGACGGTATCCACTGCATTACGACTCTTCGCTGAAGGCTGAGTTGTGTCAGCAGTGTTTGCAGTTCTGGTAGTTTCCTGGACTGGAGTGCTTTAAGTACGGATTTAGCATCTGTCAGCATTACCACATATTGTGAGCCAAGATTGGTATTTAGCAGTTTCTCTGTTGCTATCTTGATAACCTGAGTTTCTGCATCATAGTTATGGTAGTACTTCCCGGTTGGTACGCTGGACTTATCCCTAGTACCATCTGGGAATTCTATGTACACTCCAGCACCACCATTTGTAACTGCACTTCGTGCGGACCAATCTGTATAGACTCTGACCCATTGTTCTTGTGGGTATTCTTCATCAATATAACTGAGGGTGGCCATTCTGCGTTGTACACTATCTTGCTCTTTCTTGTCAAATATCCCTTTCACATTTGTCTGGATTTTTACTGTTAGTGTGCATTTTTCTCTCCATGGGGTTTGTTCTGAAATACTTTTACGTGGACAACCAATTTCTGGAAGTTTAGGAGTTTGTCTACATATTCTTTTTGCTTGGTGTATAAAGCTGCTTCTTTTTTAACCGTTCCAAGGCTAGGTTCTGAAATCTATTTTTCATAGGGTGATCTGGCATACTGAGGAACTTTTCAGCTTGTATTTGCAACTGTGTATCTCTGCGTTCTCTCAGTGCCTGTGTTTTCCCAGCTTTCTCCATTTCTAATATGGGAGTTGATTTCATCCCTCCTGTGATGATTCTGAGTGCTTGATTTTGCAATTTGTCCAACTCCTTTAATGTGGTACTAGATGCTGAACACAATGCAGTTGACCCATATTCCAAGTGTGGTAGTATGATTTGCTTGTATACTTTATTGAGTATTTTCCCATTTGCTCCCCATGTGGTTCCACTTAGTTTTCTTAGTATGGCTGTCTTCCTCCTGGCTTTGGTTGCTGTCTTGTTGATATGTTTTCTCCATGTCAACCTGTCATCAAATGTGACTCAGTTGTCATTTGTAATTCTTGCTGTTGTTGTTATAACTGCTGTTGTCAGTTGTAACACTTGCTGTTGTCAGTTGTAATACCTGCTGTTGTCAGTTGTAATACCTGCTGCTATCAGTTGTAATACCTGCTACTGTCAGTCACAACACCTGATGTTGTTAGTTGTAATACTTGCTACTGTCAGTCACAACACCTGATGTTGTCAGTTGTAATACCTGCTGCTATCAGTTGTAATACTTGCTGCTGTCAGTCACAACACCTGATATTGTTAGTTGTAATACCTGCTACTGTCAGTCACCTGATGTTGTCAGTTGTAATACCTGCTACTGTCAGTCACAACACCTGATGTTGTCAGTTGTAATACCTGCTGCTGTCAGTCACAACACCTGATGTTGTCAGTTGTAATACTTGCTGCTGTCAGTCACAACACCTGATATTGTTAGTTGTAATACCTGCTACTGTCAGTCACAACACCTGATGTTGTTAGTTGTAATACCTGCTACTGTCAGTCACAACACCTGATGTTGTTAGTTGTAATACCTGCTACTGTCAGTCACAACACCTGATATTGTCAGTTGTAATACCTGCTACTGTCAGTCACAACACCTGATGTTGTTAGTTGTAATACCTGCTACTGTCAGTCACAACACCTGATATTGTCAGTTGTAATACCTGCTACTGTCAGTCACAACACCTGATGTTGTTAGTTGTAATACCTGCTACTGTCAGTCACAACACCTGATGTTGTCAGTTGTAATACCTGCTGCTGTCAGTCACAACACCTGATATTGTCAGTTGTAATACCTGCTGCTATCAGTTGTAATACCTGCTACTGTCAGTCACAACACCTGATGTTGTCAGTTGTAATACCTGCTGCTATCAGTTGTAATACCTGCTACTGTCAGTCACAACACCTGATGTTGTTAGTTGTAATACCTGCTACTGTCAGTCACAACACCTGATGTTGTTAGTTGTAATACCTGCTACTGTCAGTCACAACACCTGATGTTGTCAGTTGTAATACCTGCTGCTGTCAGTCACAACACCTGATATTGTCAGTTGTAATACCTGCTACTGTCAGTCACAACACCTGATGTTGTTAGTTGTAATACTTGCTGCTGTCAGTCACAACACCTGATATTGTCAGTTGTAATACCTGCTACTGTCAGTCACAACACCTGATGTTGTTAGTTGTAATACCTGCTACTGTCAGTCACAACACCTGATGTTGTTAGTTGTAATACCTGCTACTGTCAGTCACAACACCTGATATTGTCAGTTGTAATACCTGCTACTGTCAGTCACAACACCTGATGTTGTCAGTTGTAATACTTGCTACTGTCAGTCACAACACCTGATGTTGTCAGTTGTAATACCTGCTGCTATCAGTTGTAATACTTGCTGCTGTCAGTCACAACACCTGATGTTGTTAGTTGTAATACCTGCTACTGTCAGTCACAACACCTGATGTTGTTAGTTGTAATACTTGCTACTGTCAGTCACAACACCTGATATTGTCAGTTGTAATACCTGCTACTGTCAGTCACAACACCTGATGTTGTCAGTTGTAATACCTGCTGCTGTCAGTCACAACACCTGATATTGTCAGTTGTAATACCTGCTACTGTCAGTCACAACACCTGATGTTGTCAGTTGTAATACCTGCTACTGTCAGTCACAACACCTGATATTGTCAGTTGTAATACCTGCTACTGTCAGTCACAACACCTGATGTTGTCAGTTGTAATACCTGCTACTGTCAGTCACAACACCTGATATTGTCAGTTGTAATACCTGCTACTGTCAGTCACAACACCTGATGTTGTCAGTTGTAATACCTGCTGCTATCAGTTGTAATACTTGCTGCTGTCAGTCACAACACCTGATATTGTTAGTTGTAATACTTGCTACTGTCAGTCACAACACCTGATGTTGTCAGTTGTAATACCTGCTGCTGTCAGTCACAACACCTGATATTGTCAGTTGTAATACCTGCTACTGTCAGTCACAACACCTGATATTGTCAGTTGTAATACCTGCTACTGTCAGTCACAACACCTGATATTGTCAGTTGCAATACTTGATGTTTGTCAGTTGTACCACTTAATGTTATCAGCTGTATAATGTTGATTTCAGCAAATGATGTGGCGGTCCTGACACTGAAGGAACCCATTGACTTCAGCCAGATCTGTGCTGCTCCCATCTGTCTCAACCCCAGTTACAGAATCACAAGTGGCCAATCTTGCATCGTTGCGGGCTGGGGAGCAACCTCAGGTAAGACAACACCATGTCGGGGGCTGGGGAGCAACCTCAGGTAAGACAACACCATGTCGGGGGCTGGGGAGCAACCTCAGGTAAGTCAACACCACGTTGGCGGGCTGGAGAGCAACCTCAGGTAAGTCAACACCATGTCGGGGGCTGGGGAGCAACCTCAGGTAAGACAACACCATGTCGGGGGCTGGGGAGCAACCTCAGGTAAGACAACACCATGTCGGGGGCTGGGGAGCAACCTCAGGTAAGACAACACCATGTCGGGGGCTGGGGAGCAACCTCAGGTAAGACAACACCATGTCGGGGGCTGGGGAGCAACCTCAGGTAAGTCAACACCACGTTGGCGGGCTGGAGAGCAACCTCAGGTAAGTCAACACCACGTTGGCAGGCTGAGGAGTAACCTCAGGTAAGACAACACCACGTCACAATAAAAGGTTGGAGATCATAAAAGAACATGTCAGACAGGACTAACTCCAAAAGTAAAATAGTTTGATCAGTCTCAGAGTGGACACCTATATTATCTTTTCTTAATATGAACATTCACATGAGTTAACTTTTATAATATGTGATGTCTCATATGAGAATGTTCATTTGTTCACTTTCATATGTGGTGTAACAGGTGGGAATGTCCATTTGTTCACTTACATATGTGGTGACACATGTGAGAATGTCAAATTGTTCACTTACATGTGTGGTGTCACATGTGGGAATGTCTATTTGTTCACTTACATGATATATAGTGTCACATGTGAGCATGTCCATTTGTTCACTTTCATATGTGGTGTCACATGTGAGAATGTCTATTTTTTTCATTTTCACGTGTGGTGTCACATGTGAGAATGTCCATTTGTTCACTTTTGTATGTGGTGTCACATGTGAGAATGTCCATTTGTTCACTTTCATGTATGGTGTCATGTGTGAAAATGTCCATTTGTTCATTTACATGATATATGGTGTCACATGTGAGAATGTCCATTCATTCACTTACATGATATGTGGTGTCACATGTGAGGATGTCCATTTGTTCACTTTCTTGATATGTGGCGTCACATGTGAGAATGTCCATTTATTCACTCACATGATTTGTGGTCACACACGTGAGGATGTCCCTTTGTTCACTTACATGATAGGTGGTGTCACATGTGAGAATGTCCATTTGTTCACTTACATGATATGTGGTGTCACATGTGAGGATGTCCATTTGTACACTTACATGATATGTGATGTCACATGTGAGGATATCCATTTGTACACTTACATGATATGTGATGTAACATATGAAGATGTCCATTTGTACACTTACATGATATGTGATGTCACATGTGAGGATATCCATTTGTACACTTACATGATATATAGTGTCACATGTGAGGATGTCCATTTGTTCACTTACATGATATGTGATGTCACATGTGAGGATGTCCATTTGTACACTTACATGATATGTGATGTAACATGTGAGGATGTCCATTTGTTCACTTACATGATATGTGATGTCACATGTGAGGATGTCCATTTGTTCACTTACATGATATGTGATGTCACATGTGAAGATGTCTATTTGTTCACTTACATGATATGTGATGTAACATGTGGGGATGTCCATTTGTTCACTTACATAATGTGATGTCACATGTGAAGATGTCCATTTGTTCACTTACATGATATGTGATGTAACATGTGGGGATGTCCATTTGTTCACTTACATGATATGTGATGTCACATGTGAGGATGTCCATTTGTTCACTCACATGATTTGTGATGTCACATGTGAAGATGTCCATTTGTTCACTTACATGATATGTGATGTCACATGTGAGGATGTCCATTTGTACACTTACATGATATGTGATGTCACATGTGAGAATATCCATTTGTACACTTACATGATATGTGATGTCACATGTGAAGATGTCCATTTGTTCACTCACATGATTTGTGATGTCACATGTGAAGATGTCCATTTGTTCACTTACATGATATGTGGTGTCACATGTGAGGATGTCCATTTGTACACTTACATGATATGTGATGTCACATGTGAGGATATCCATTTGTACACTTACATGATATGTGATGTAACATGTGAAGATGTCCATTTGTACACTTACATGATATGTGATGTCACATGTGAGGATATCCATTTGTACACTTACATGATATATAGTGTCACATGTGAGGATGTCCATTTGTTCACTTACATGATATGTGATGTCACATGTGAGGATGTCCATTTGTACACTTACATGATATGTGATGTAACATGTGAGGATGTCCATTTGTTCACTTACATGATATGTGATGTCACATGTGAGGATATCCATTTGTACACTTACATGATATATAGTGTCACATGTGAGGATGTCCATTTGTTCACTTACATGATATGTGATGTAACATGTGGGGATGTCCATTTGTTCACTTACATGATATGTGATGTCACATGTGAAGATGTCCATTTATTCACTTACATGATATGTGATGTAACATGTGGGGATGTCCATTTGTTCACTTACATGATATGTGATGTCACATGTGAAGATGTCCATTTGTTCACTTACATGATATGTGGTCACATGTGAGGATGTCCATTTGTTCACTTACATGATATGTGATGTAACATGTGAGAATGTCCATTTGTTCACTTACATGATATGTGATGTAACATGTGAGGATGTCCATTTGTTCACTTACATGATATGTGGTCACATGTGAGGATGTCCATTTGTACACTTACATGATATGTGGTCACATGTGAGGATGTCCATTTGTTCACTTACATGATATGTGATGTAACATGTGGGAATGTCCATTTGTTCACTTACATGATATGTGATGTCACATGTGAGGATATCCATTTGTACACTTACATGATATGTGGTCACATGTGAGAATGTCCATTTTTTCACTTCATATGTGGTGTCACATGTGAGAATGTCCCTTTTATGTCCATTTGTTCACTTTCATATGTGGTGTCACATGTTAGAATGTCCATTTGTTCACTTTTATATGTGATGTCACATGTTAGAATGTCCATTTGTTCACTTTCATATGTGGTGTCACATGTGAGAATGTCCATTTGTTCATTTTCATATGTTCCACCACAACTGTCTTCTATGTTATGTAATGTTCCACCACAACTGTCTTCTATGTTATGTAATGTTCCACCATAAGTGTCTTCTATGTTATGTAAGGTTCCACCACAACTGTCTTCTATGTTATGTAAGGTTCCACCACAACTGTCTTCTATGTTATGTAATGTTCCACCACAACTGTCTTCTATGTTATGTAATGTTCCACCACAACTGTCTTCTATGTTATGTAATCTTCCACCACAACTGTCTTCTATGTTATGTAATGTTCCACCACAACTGTCTTCTATGTTATGTAATGTTCCACCACAACTGTCTTCTATGTTATGTAATGTTCCACCACAACTGTCTTCTATGTTATGTAATGTTCCACTACAATTGTCTTCTATGTTATGTAATGTTCCACCACAACTGTCTTCTGTGTTATGTAATGTTCCACTACAATTGTCTTCTACGTTATGTAATGTTCCACCACAACTGTCTTCTATGTTATGTAAGGTTCCACCACAACTGTCTTCTATGTTATGTAATGTTCCACTACAATTGTCTTCTATGTTATGTAATGTTCCACCACAACTGTCTTCTGTGTTATGTCTTGTTCCAACATAATTGTCTTCTATGTTATGTAATATTCCACCATAATTGTCTTCTATGTTATGTAATGTTCCACCACAACTGTCTTCTATGTTATGTCTTGTTCCAACATAATTGTCTTCTATGTTATGTAAGGTTCCACCACAACTGTCTTCTATGTTATGTAAGGTTCCACCACAACTGTCTTCTATGTTATGAAATGTTGCACCATAATTGTCTTCTATGTTATGTAAGGTTCCACCACAACTGTCTTCTATGTTATGTAATGTTCCAACACAACTGTCTTCTATGTTATGTAATGTTCCAACCTAATTGTCTTTTATGTTATGTAATGTTCCACCACAACTGTCTTCTATGTTATGTCATGTTCCACCACAACTGTCTTCTATGTTATGTAATGTTCCACTACAATTGTCTCCTATGTTATGTCATGTTCCACCACAACTGTCTTCTATGTTATGTAATGTTCCACCACAACTGTCTCCTATGTTATGTAATGTTCCACCACAACTGTCTTCTATGTTATGTCTACAGACTGTTTCTATGTTATGTAATGTTCCACCACAACTGTCTACAGACTGTTTCTATGTTATGTAATGTTCCACCACAACTGTCTACAGACTGTTTCTATGTTATTTAATGTTCCACCACAACTGTCTACAGACTGTTTCTATGTTATGTAATGTTCCACCACAACTGTCTTCTATGTTATGTAATGTTCCACCACAACTGTCTACAGACTGTTTCTATGTTATGTAATGTTCCACCACAACTGTCTACAGACTGTTTCTATGTTATGTAATGTTCCACCACAACTGTCTACAGACTGTTTCTATGTTATGTAATGTTCCACCACAACTGTCTACAGACTGTTTCTATGTTATGTAATGTTCCACAACTGTCTATAGACTGTTTCTATGTTATGTAATGTTTCACCACAACTGTCTACAGACTGTTTCTATGTTATGTAATGTTCCACCACAACTGTCTACAGACTGTTTCTATGTTATTTAATGTTCCACCACAACTGTCTACAGACTGTTTCTATGTTATGTAATGTTCCACCACAACTGTCTTCTATGTTATGTAATGTTCCACCACAACTGTCTACAGACTGTTTCTATGTTATGTAATGTTCCACCACAACTGTCTACAGACTGTTTCTATGTTATGTAATGTTCCACCACAACTGTCTTCTATGTTATGTAATGTTCCACCACAACTGTCTACAGACTGTTTCTATGTTATGTAATGTTCCACCACAACTGTCTACAGACTGTTTCTATGTTATGTAATGTTCCACAACTGTCTATAGACTGTTTCTATGTTATGTAATGTTCCACCACAACTGTCTACAGACTGTTTCTATGTTATGTAATGTTCCACCACAACTGTCTACAGACTGTCTTCTATGTTATGTAATGTTCCACCACAACTGTCTACAGACTGTTTCTATGTTATGTAATGTTCCACCACAACTGTCTACAGACTGTTTCTATGTTATGTAATGTTCCACCACAACTGTCTTCTATGTTATGTAATGTTCCACCACAACTGTCTACAGACTGTTTCTATATTGTCTATCATGCTGTGCTATGTAAATTACCAGGGCTAGACTTGCCACATAAGAGTTCTTCCTGAAATTTCAAGACACAAAGTTTGATTGGCTGTAGTACAGTTATACAAACATGATTGAAGAAAACCAACTAAAGAAAGTTACAAGATCACATTCATAAATGACATAGTGAGCATTGCAGTTACAAAATCTTCATAATTGTAACAAATTACAAATAAAACACACAAGGACTTATCTATACTGAACAATATGTTTAAAAAAAAAAAGGTAAAAGTGTGTCAAACAAAATCAATGTTCATGCCCTTATTCTGTTGTGGACACAGAGAACTCGGCTGTGGCCTCCTCCACACTGCAAGAAGCTTCTGTCTCAACTTACCAGGGCACAGAATGCTCAGGTGTGTTTCCCAACGCTGAAGCCAGCTACTTTACAGATCCTTCTAAACAGCTTTGTGCTGGGCAGCCAAATGTAGGAGGAGTGGACGCTTGTACCGTGAGTATTCTCAGTTCACATTCACATCAGCTGTTGGATACTTCAGCAGGTGAAAATACTTAAACTGACAAATTAGGCCGCAGATTTAAGTATTTTCTGGAATTAGATGTGCTGGGCAGAATGGTGCAGACATTGCAGCCTAGCTGTAAACCATAACATGCCCACTGCTCTTTTGACATGGAGCACAGAAAACTTCAACAGTTTCAACAAATGTCTGGCCGTCCCTTGTATGAAACACTTTGTCAACATTTACAGACAGACAAATCACATTACTTGTGTGGTATAACACAACATTTATACATTGGCTAAATGACATTACTTGTGTTATACAAAACAACATCACACCCACTAAACATTGGTTAGTTCAGTGACTGTAGACATCACAACCACTAAACATTGGTTAGTTCAGTGACTGTAGACATTACAACCACTAAACATTGGTTAGTTCAGTAACTGTAGACATCACACCCACTAAACATTGGTTAGTTCAGTGACTGTAGACAGTACACCCACTAAACATTGGTTAGTTCAGTGACTGTAGACATCACACCCACTAAAGCTTGGTTAGTTCAGTGACTGTAGACATCACACCCACTAAACATTGGTTAGTTCAGTGACTGTAGACATCACACCCACTAAACATTGGTTAGTTCAGTGACTGTAGACATCACGAACACTAAACATTGGTTAGTTCAGTGACTGTAGACATCACGAACACTAAACATTGGTTAGTTCAGTGACTGAAGACATTACAACCACTAAACATTGGTTAGTTCAGTGACTGTAGACATCACAAACACTAAACATTGGTTAGTTCAGTGACTGTAGACATCACGAACACTAAACATTGGTTAGTTCAGTGACTGTAGACATCACGAACACTAAACATTGGTTAGTTCAGTGACTGTAGACATCACGAACACTAAACATTGGTTAGTTCAGTGACTGTAGACATCACGAACACTAAACATTGGTTAGTCAGTGACTGTAGACATCACGAACACTAAACATTGGTTAGTTCAGTGACTGGAGACATCATGAACACTAAACATTGGTTAGTTCAGTGACTGTAGACAACACAACCACTAAACATTGGTTAGTTCAGTGACTGTAGACATTACAACCACTAAACATTGGTTAGTTCAGTGACTGTAGACATCACAACCACTAAACATTGGTTAGTTCAGTGACTGTAGACATTACAACCACTAAACATTGGTTAGTTCAGTGACTGTAGACATCACGAACACTAAACATTGGTTAGTTCAGTGACTGGAGACATCATGAACACTAAACATTGGTTAGTTCAGTGACTGTAGACATCACAACCACTAAACATTGGTTAGTTCAGTGACTGTAGACATTACAACCACTAAACATTGGTTAGTTCAGTGACTGTAGACATCACACCCACTAAACATTGGTTAGTTCAGTGACTGTAGACATCACGAACACTAAACATTGGTTAGTTCAGTGACTGGAGACATTACAACCACTAAACATTGTTTAGTTCAGTGACTGTAGACATCACGAACACTAAACATTGGTTAGTTCAGTGACTGTAGACATCACGAACACTAAACATTGGTTAGTTCAGTGACTGTAGACATCACAACCACTAAACATTGGTTAGTTCAGTGACTGTAGACAGTACACCCACTAAACATTGGTTAGTTCAGTGACTGTAGACATCACACCCACTAAACA